CCGCACTTCTTGTAGTTTCTGTCCTTTCCTATTACGATTCCAACTTTATTCTTAAGTTGATTAGTGTATTTCATTGTATTATAGAACCAAGGTAACAGGAACTTACGTTTAATTTTTCTGTCCTCACCGTGCGTATAGTATAGGTTCACAAGCCTACAGTTTCCTTGTCCCATCGCGTGCGAATACAATAGTCTAGGATTCGTATAGTCTACACATGCGCACTAATGAGGAAATGATGGCTGACACCGTAAACACAGACGCACCGCTTGGCCGTAATGAGTACGCAACCCTGCTCTTCCGCTACGTATACGAGGCTGAATGCATCGGCGGCTACAATTAGGAAGTCCTTGGCGTCACCCGTTACGACTTTCCGTTTGACGTGGCTCAAGTAGCTAACTGGTCCCTCCTAACAGAGCTGCCGCCAGATGCGGCCTGGAGGGAATTTGTCACCCAGTTCACCGGCCTAGTAGCAAGTGTTTCGGAGACCAAAGTTTCTTGCCGGAAGAAAACTATTATTACTTGTGGGTCAGGACTCGATTCAGCCTGGAACACACAAAAGTTCGCTTGAGTGCGCAGACCCGAGGTGCCTTCATAACTCCACGAAACCACTGTATCAAGTTGGTCCACGGAAACAAACCGAAGTAACAACGAGATTCAATTGAAAAGTTTGCACCAACTTTAAACCTTCTAAGGGTAAAATACTAAATTCTGCAGAGTGCAGTGCACAATCACGTTTCCACATGCAGTAGGTCTAGTACTAATTCCACCAGAGACGGACAACTCGCTTCGGTAAAACATCCACCGTACTATCCAAACAGTATCGTTACCTAACTCCTCTCAAACACAGTTAACAAGGCGGTTAGGTTCAATCCAAATATCCTTCACTGCAGAGTAAGTTATGGAAAAATACTATCCCCTCGTTTACACGGCTCTTCGGGCAACAGTAACAGCCGTCACGAACCTCCTTGTGCTGTTTTGTTAAATAGTTCAACGATCCCATGATGAAATGCAGGCACCCACAATGTGTTACATGGGATAGTCGGTCCTATTTATAAGAGTAACATTCTTGTGAAGCCCCGAAGCTGCTGCCTATTAACTCTTCCACGGTGCTATCCAAACTAATGGAAAGTATTTACGCAGTGTCTCTCATAAGATACTTCAAGATCAGCAATATGGGCAGCTAGGAATCCGCTTAAATCCGTCCTGTACCAGAAGCGAGCGGCTAGCCCAAGCAAGCTGGACGAAATCATTCAGTTTGTAAATCCTTCGCTCGGATATGTTGTGGCCCTTAATCGGAGCAACGATTCAGCTATTGTGGACTTTGTCCCGCGTCGAGAAGTGGCTATTCGAATTCGGATCAAGGCGCCAAATGTGACTCAGTGGGCCAACCGTTCTTTCTCATTGCCCTGAGACCAAGACGGACAATGAACGACTACCCACAACCCCGCGATGGAAGCCAACAATTCCCTTCTGCCAGGCGTTCACTGCTTAAAACAGAGATGAACAAGGTTTGAACAGCATGGAATTCGTAGCACTAATTTCCTTGTTGTCTGTAGGGCGGCAAAGTTGTCCATTGATACTGGAACAAAGAATTTAAAACGAATAAACTAAAGACTAAGCGACAAAGGTAAACGAATGAGATCGCGCGATCCGTGACTTGAAAAGAGGGTCTAACGGTTAAAAGGGAGATAAATGCCAACTGATAAGGTTATCATTAAGACCGCATCGAGTGACCATTTTGCAGCAAACTAAGCAGCAAATTTGGAGGATTGGAGAAAGCATCCAGCGTGGAACCATGAGGTCTCCACAACGCGGTGCCAATGTAGCAGTAGATGTTTAGCTAACTAGACTTCTTTCTATCATTCGAATACCAGGGCCACCGAATTCTCATCCAAAATCTTCGAAGCTATGGAATCGGTTACCAAGTATTGGGTTGGATAGGCAACTTGCTCATTCCGCGTCCGCAGATTGTGTGAGTCTGTAGCGATTTTTCAGGCATACTCGTAGTCCTGTGTTGTGCACTTCAAGCATGGTATTGCAGCCACGTCTCTTAATAGTCCCATAGAACTTTGCGCCAACTTACTCTATCCAGACGTCCTACGTTTTACAGATTGAGCAGGAAAACAAGAGACTGAACGATCCTGCTGCTCTACAAAGCAATCTAGACAGGGTCTAGATTTGATCAGCGAGGAGCCAAGCACAGTGCTTGGTGTATACACCATTAGCGTACCTATGCTGGCTGAAGTAGGTTAAATCCAACTTCGTCGCAAAAATGTATATAAATACGGCCACTGGGTGATAGCATTTGATACACGCACTCTCTCAAGAGAACTGGTTAGGTATAAGAATTTAAAATATATTCCTATCCTCGCTATTCTAAAGGATACAATCATACACAGGACAGTACTTACGACTAGGTGTGCGATCTTCGGCAGCAGAAGGAAACAAGTATAATATTTATGACAAAGTAGTGGAGATGTACAGAAATGTGCAAGTGTGTAAAAATCATGGCATTAAGTCATCAAGAACGTAACAGCTTTAGAACATGCTTCTCAGAAAAGTGATCCAAAAACTATCGTTCCGTATAACCTTGCACTCTCGAAACGGACAAAAAGCGCATCGGAAAGAGATAATCAGCACCTTGACCTCAAACGGAGACATCCATAAAGTTTAGATCCTCATTCATTTCACAGACGTTGAACACTTATTTCAGATTCCGAGTGGAATGTACCAGCCAATCCAGACCTAAATTACGAAAACACCATACTGCTACAACTGAAACTCCGCCACGTAGAGCCACCAAGATCTGTAAGGGATCATTTCATCTCCCTTACCAGCTCAGAGTACAAGCCCTTGGATTGTACAGCCGTGAGTATAGGCGCCTGTGAGAAGATCTCATCATGGTGTGCATAGTATTGGCGAACCCGCATTAAGCCTTTTGCGCTATGCTGCAACTCAACCATAATTTTTACCTAAGGCTAGCAGCTCATATTGACCGCGCATTAAGGTCGACTTGATTGGCGAGAAACTTGTAGATATTCCAAGCACGGAACGGTCCTCCAATTTACGTCATTTTTCATCCTGCACTATCACATTTTAGGAGACGCTTTGATAAGTTGGTACGTAATTTGAGTTGCTCGATATAGTCCGATTTAATCGGAACATGAAACATCCCGAACCAATCAGTGTACTTGCCGCCATTTTTTCTAACGAACCAATGGGTAGAGCTTCAGATTTGTTCAAGTGAAACGTCCACCTCATTTCCTACATCCCGCAAATTGCCACTTCTTCTTGTTAACTTTATTATCCACCTATAAATCTTCTTCTGACAATTCTACTGGACTTCACGGGATCTTGCCTTTCGGCAGTCATAGGTGAATGCTTTGATCTTCAAACGTCCCAATCTTTCGAAAGGAATTTATACAAATCAGTTTTAAGGCAATTGTTAAATTCGTATGTTTATGTTCGCCCGCCATATTCGTCCAATTTTAACTAGATACTGTACTGTCATTCCATAATAAATCGTTGTTTTCGGGATAAATAATGGTGTTTGCATAATAAAATATTAGAACTTTTATATTAAGTTTAACTTTTACATGAGCTCATATCTTTGTAGTCGTATTAAACCCTATTTTAATGAATGCAAATGTATTAACATGAGCTGATTTCTGTTTCACTTTAATGAATTTGAATGCAAAATTGCAAAGCACTACTGCTTCTGTTTGGTTCTCAACAGCAATATTTGCCATAGGCAAAGCACCCGCTGTTAGCCATTCGTCATTCCAGGCCCCTGAGTTTATAACGTCACGCTTTTACCTATTTGCGCTAGCCTCTATGAAGTCGTCAAATGGCTGAAGCAGAATTTCTCCTGCTCAAATATTATTAGTATTGATAATCTCAGTATTAAACGCAGTGTTTCGATTGACTTTTACCTGTTTTTTTTCTAGGACCCGTAAATATTAGTTACATCAAAGACACACCAACATATTATCCACAGATAACGATGTACGCGGACTGCAGAACTGTGGGCGTATCCTTTTGATGGACCATCTAGCTGTCTCCAAGCTAAATAGAAAACTTATGCTTCACGTACTAAAGTTTCATATGGTTGTCTGCATTTTTTGAATGTAGGTTTGAATATAAGTTCAAACGGCTCTAGAAGCGGCCACATGCATCCATACTCAGATAAAACTGAGTCTGTAAATAGTTTGAAAATGAAATCGTGCATCACAAGGTTAAAACGACGATAGCTTGTAAAGAACAGAATTCGTCGTAATTTGGATTCTCACGTAATCAAGGTGCTGCTAGTTTATACTAGATGATGTTTTGGCAACCTTAACAAAAGCAACCTCCACTTCACCAGCATTCATATGTAAACATAGAAAGATTTGCAATGTTACACACGAACAAATAAAATCGCCAGAAAGTTTTGACTTAGCAAACCATAGGTCACTACGTGTTTTTACTTTTATAACGTATGTGATACCCTAGTGGAAGGTAGCTACGATGAGCAGCAATGAGAATTTCGACTACCCCTTTTTATAACATGGATTAATCAGACAACTAACTTTGCTTAATTTGCGAATATCGCAAGAGTTATCCACTACCCACCCTTTACTGTACGAAGACTTAAGTGTACTTTTCCTATTCTCCTCAAGTGGTACAGTGTCTAAGGCATGAGGGCGAATAAACGCTTGGTGGTTTTCCATTGGTTACAAATCTTGTCACAAAAGCGCTGACCAGTAAGATTACACGAAGCCACTGGGAACAATATAAGAATTCCCTTCTGCATTAAGTGCAGCTGGATAATTGGTTCATCTAAATTTATTGCACTACCTACCCTGCGACGTCTTATTTCCTTCCCTTTGTGACACACAAGGATTCCTGCATCGATTCGTTTGAACAGAAATTACATTGTGCAGGTGTGGAGTAGCCGGCGGACAAGAATCTTAAAAAGCTGCGGACTTGAGAGTGATACTATAGATCTGCAGTTTACCAACATGAGTTCGGTAAGCCATTGCTTGAATAGCATTATCGGAATGTTACAGTGGTAAGGCTACTAACATTGACCCGTATTGGTATGGTAGCAGTATTATCAGTAGTAGCTGTAACGGCAGGAAAAATCTCTTGTACTTATTAACTCTTAGCTTTCTACTGACAACAACGTGAACACAACTAACCAATACTTTATCTCGCACCAGAAATTGCATGCTCTTATCCAGCCCCATTTGTTATAAGTAAAACACTAAAAAATCCCCTGCGATTTGAACAATGCGCAATCATTAGACCCGTATTATTTTTGTAGGTGATCTACCATTTACATTAGTAATCATTCTCTTAGTAGTAAGAATATTTTTGCATATCCTCTTAATACAGCGCAAAGTGATGGACCACAAGTTAATTTTTCTTCCTCTGTGTGTCAGCATAGCAACACTGGCGGCTTACAAGAAACCAACTTCAAGATTTTATCAATACGCTTTGTCTTTCAAAATGTGGTACAAATGCTCCTGATTAGATTATTCTTTTGCAACAAAAATATAGTAATGAAAATATACCTCGTCCATTTTAGCTAGGACTAATCCTTTTCTGTCTGAGGTTTGTCAGCCCCGAGCAGAGTGCGTTAAATTATGTTTTATAATCAGTGCTCTGCTAAAACTTAGAAGTGCTTGCGAAATGAAACTTTGGCAACTAAGTGCTTTTACCTCAATCGGCATAGAAGTGTGTAATATGCTGCTGATATTTTAACAGGCAGACAAATCTCTAGTTGAGTTTTTAAGTGCGTTGTTCTATTTGAACAACAAGACTTGACCTTAATTTACGTATGCACCAAATTTCACGCAACCCACAGAAAACCTGATTTTCCGGCGTTCATCCGCCTTTTTTATTCATAACCAGCTTCATCCTTTATTTCCACAGAAAACATGACATCTCGGTAATGTGAGACTGTGTACAACACATGAATAAACTTATTTGTTTTCATTTGGTTTTATTTAAGGTATTGCAGTGACGATATTTGTGGTTTACCAAATAAATTCCTAAAGGTCACCGAGCATAACTACGTGCCTCGCTTTATGGTCTTTATGGTCTCTCCAAGATATACACACTGGGCACACCGCTAAGACCAATACTAGATATGGTGATTTCGCCACACCATAGCGCTGTAAGTTGATTGACAAAAATATAGAACCTACTGGGTAATTGATAGTCCGTATTACTTAACGGACACATACATTTTGTCGATGCGGTCCGGCGCATAATATTCGGAATTATCGGATGTTCTCCCATGACGTCGTCTCGCTATTCAACAATGTGCCTCTGTTGGAAACGGTCAAATTTCTGTGCGATTAACTTGACCAACGAGAAAGAAATATTGGCCTCCCAACAAAACTTCTGAAATAACTTCTCCTCAGATGAACCTACCATGACCAGTTTCACTTTAACTATTATCTAGATAGTCAGATCGATGGTGTTGCAATGGGATCTTCACTAGGACTGCTGCTGGCTGACATCTACTAGAGAATATTAAAACGTGACCTACTGAAGGTTGTTATTTCAGGCTTGCAATTCTACCGGCTTTATGTGGACGATATATGTTATATGTGTAACCGAACGAACAACTTGCAGTACGTCGTCGAACGCTTCAATAAAGCACATTACAACGCAGCATTTATAATTGAAAAGGAAAGTGACAAACAGATAAATTTCCTTTATGCAAGCTAAAGAGCAGAAACGATGGCTCAATACAGATCCACGTGTGCAGTAACCCATGCTGGAGTGGTCAATATTCGAAGTTGCACATATTTATCCTACTCGGCAGCAAGAAAAGGCTAGTGCTTATCTTAACGAACCGCATCTATAAGATGTGTAGCGAGGACATTAATGATAGCGAACTGAGGCTGATCAAACCAGTGTTTCTTGAGAGTGGGTATCTGGTAAGCTTTACTGACAGTCATATGAAGCATAATGGTAGCAAAATTTAAGAGGCAAACGGTCAAAAATAAATCTTTTATACCTCCCTTTCAAAGGCAACAACGCAGCGGAGCTCTGTAAATGCAGCCGAAGGAAAGCTGCAGAAAGACTTTAACGCAGCTTTAACTGTATTTTATGCGAGCTAACGCAACTTGCTCCGAGATTCAAAGACCAACTGCTTGACAGTCACCAGTCATTGATAATTTATCGGTTTGCCTGACACTTTTGGTCTGGGTACTTTGGACGAACGACCAGACACTTATGTAAGAGAATCAACGAACATCACCCAGAGTGGCTCACCAAAAAAGCAAACAGAACGAGCTTCAGTTTAATACCAAACCAGCTAATGAAAAACTGACACCAAGTTGACAAACAAACTGTTTAAACATCGTATACAAATTACCACCCCACCCAAACCACGGAATAAGGAATCGCTTGCTTGTTACCGCGGGGGGTGTATGCATAAGACTGAGGAATCCAAAATTATGCATCCAAAAGGAGATGGTTCAATCAATACAACTGACTTGGTCAAAAACAAACAAACAGAGGGGATCACATCCAAACCCACACCTGAAATAGGTGAATTGATAACTTGACCAATGTCGGGAAAGCAAATTAAAGTGTAAAATCTATTGACATGTTGTAAAGTAATCTAACCCATTCCCACGTAGCGCCTATTACTGTAAGGAATTGATGAGGAATTAGTGGAAAACAATTGTTTGTCGAAAACTTATGGCTCCTTTTCCTTATCAGGGTTTCACTTATACACTATGAGTGGTTAAAATTAGCCCTCAGTGAATGTAGTATAACCCTGAAGCAAGTGTCAGTGCTGAAAGAGTACAAGAAAATACCTGCGATGACTCCACTTTTCATTAGACCAATTGCAAGTATCGTCTTCGAGAACCGAACAGGCGATGCATTTGCATTGATTTGGTCAAGACCTTCTTGACTGCTTTTAAACGTCACCCTATGAAATCCGATAAGCATGAGACGATATTAGGATGTCGGGCTTATTAAACATAACAGTGATACGGTATGGAAAAGCTACTCAACATCCCTCATGGAAGTTAAAGTCACTTCAGCCCCTCTTCTGGAGATTCAGAGCTTATTTACTATGGATTTGGATGCAGATATTTCGAACCAAGAAACTTATTAAATCTTGATGCTGCAGCTCCAAAAGTTACATGCAGTGCTCTAGTGCATAAACAATTAACAATGGAATAATGAAGTATTACTGTTAAAATATCAAGGCGTAACCAGTCTCGTGGGATGAAAAATATCGCGAAAATTAAATTACATGTTAAAGTAGAATAGCGGAGATGTTCGCGTATTAAAAGTATAAATCCATAAATTCAGTAGTGGGGAGTTTGGTAAAATACCATCTGATTGCTTTTTATAGCCCCAAGCCAACAAGATATAAAACGAAATTCAAATGAGAAAACGCATCGTCAACTCATTTTTTAAACCTGGCCAGATTGGGAGCAGTTATGGTGTAAATAGAGGGGGCGTTCTAAGTCTGGCACAACTGGAGAAAAAAGACATTTCTACGGCATTCAAGCCGGCGATACCGTATTTTCAGTTTCAGAAGATGGCCCCTTAAATTAGTGTTGTGGTTTAATTTCAGCAGCGGACGGCAAATGTGGTTTGGGTTCTTCAGAATCTGGTAAACCATTATGAGGTCCCCGCGAAATCCGATGTCGAATGCTGTACATTCTGAGAGATTTCAGTTTACGCTGATACGGCAGATGAAAGAGTCCTCTGATGTTCATGGTTACCCTTCGTTGAGAAGTCTCGCGAACAACGAGTTCCCGTTTCTGCCAAAGTTGCCACGCCTGGATAATATATTCCACGTGCGGTATCAAGTAGGCGTTAAGCATTCGGCGAAAGGTTGAGGGTTCAAACCGACCGAATACACTGCAAAGCAGGCCAAAATGTTGATTCCCGATTCTCGTCGCCATCTCTGCTTGCTTTGTACACCTGAGATCTTCCTGTGTCAGTACACCCAGGTCACGCTGCTGAGAGGCCTTCTGCAAGGTGTGGTCTCCAACCTTGTAAACGCTCACCGGCTGGTGACGCAGATGTATCACCTTGCACTTAGCTATGTTCAACTGAAGAAGTTTCCAATTTGAACATTCATAAATGCAATCTAGGTTATGTTGGAGTAGATCTTGATCTTGATTGTTATAAATCGCTCCCCATATCTTGAATTCATCGGCAAAAAGCAAGAAATTTGGGGAGATAACTCTTTCCAGGTCTTTGATAAACATCAGGAATAAGCGCGGTCTCAGCACTGAGACTTGTGGGTTATTACATTCCACCACAATGGGATTAGTGAGTGATCCTCTAACAAACTTTGAAGCTTCTGTTGGTGAGGAAAGTTGCTAATCTAACCAAGCACATTATCACCGATTCCGGAGCTCTGTAGACCAGAAAGTAGGATGCGGTGATTCAGGCGGTCGAAGGTTTCGGATAAGTACAGGTAGGTGACGTCAACTCCGAGCCCATCATCAGCCACTTCCGTCCAACTACCTCTTGATATCAGCAGGCTGGTGGTGCATGACCGGCGTTGACGGAGGCCATGCTGGTCGAATGCTGATTTTTTGCATTTTTCCGGGTAGCCCATTAGAGTCTCAGCGACAATCGCTTACGTCACCTTCGTGAGCACAGGAAGAAGAGTCACTGGGCGATAGTTTGCAGGCTCTGAACGGCTACCACCTTTAGAAATTTTGGTGATAATTCCACGTTGCATCAAACTGGGGACTTGCTGTTCATCAAAGCACCTTTGGAAGAACTGTGACTGGGGTTCGGCTAGCTTGGTTGCCGAAGCCCTGAGTGTTTCAGACGGGTGTTTTAGGCGCCCCGAGAGCTATCATCGGGCAGTGAGAGTAACTTCCTTAACAGAATTGATGGGTTGAATCTTATATGTGTAAACAAAGGAGTCGTTAATATGTATGACATTATGGGACAAGTAGTGGATGCAAGTTCGAAAATCGAGGTGTATTGTAGCCGCAGGATATTAGCTGCTTCTTCGGTGCTTTGT